TTAAAAGAAGCTCCTCAAAAATTAAAACATAACAAACAATCATAAGACTTACACAGGACAAAATGGGAATTTTAAGTTGTAGAAACTATTAATTATATCACAAGTTGAGCATCCCTAATCTAAAAACCCCCAAATGCTAAGAAATCTGACAAGACACAAATGGAAAATTCCATACCTGACCTCATGTGACAGGTTGCAGTCAAAACACAAGTAATAGTGTAGAAAGTGACCTTCAGGCTGTTTGTATAGATGTAAGGAAACATAAATGAATTGGTGTTCAGTGGGCCCCTCACCTAGGATATCTCCTTATGTATACACAAGCATTTCAGAATCCAAAATATGAAACACTTCTGCTCCCAAGCATTTCCCATGAGGACACTAAACCTGGACCAGCTAGTCTTGCCTTTTGTCTAGTTCATCCCAGCCAGGAAACCTTTGGTTTCGTTGGGATTTAAGTACACAGTCACCCAAGCAAATACATGCTGAACTGTAATCCAACATTACAATTAAGCACATATTCAAATGGCTCAGGGATTTAAAAATAAAAAAATAAAATTGCAGAAGTATTAGAAGACATAGGAGAACTTTTTACTAATCTTCCAGTAGTAAAAATCTTTCTAGGCAAGATGGAAAACCTGGAGGTCATGAAATCTAGAAAGCCTGATTGCATAAAATGTTAAATATCTGCAAAATAAAATTCTGAGTGACAACTGGAATGAAAAAAAGGGCAAAGGACATAAAAGGCACAGAAGAAACACTAAAGTCTCCACTCAAAAGAAAACATTCAGTGTCATATTAGTAAAGGAAATACAAAATACCACTTTCTCCTATCAGATTAGGAAGCTGCGACAAGGCAGTTTTAGAAAAGGAGGAGGAACCAGGCACTCTTGTACATTGTTGAGGGGAATGTAAACAGGTTCAACCAACTGCCAGACTGCCTTCAAAATATCTAACAAAATGTAAAAGGCCCATTCTTTCAACAGGAATTTCTCTTGCAGATACCTTCACACATCTAGGCCAGGACTTAGGAGCAAGTCCTGCACTGCAGCATTATAACATAATAGCCAAATATTGGAAACATCAATAAGGAATAAGTGCGTCTATGCAATGAATGTTTTGCAGTCTAAAAACAAAAAAAAGAAGAAAGCTGTTTATCAACTGATGACGATAATTAACATTTATGAGCACTTACTAAGTGCTTATATTAATTATTTGATATGGAATCATCTCCAAAATACAGAGCTAAACCAAAAAAGAAAAAAAAAAAAAAAAAGAAAGCAGCAGCAAGGAGCTAAACAGTAAAAAATACATTCCCCTTATGTTAAAAAAAAAATCACATAGACATACATGTGTTTATATAGTCACAGAAAAGTTCTGGAAGGATATATAAACACTGCCTTAAAGAAAAGGGACCTGGGGATCCACAGTGTGAGGGAGAATTACTTTTCACTGAATATCGTTTTGTACTGTTTGCCTCCATCATATGCTAATTAATAGAAACTCAACCTCGAGAACATATGTATACCATGATCCCTTTATACTCAAATAATTTTATGTTTACATATATATTTCATGACTAGAAAAGTCTGGGATGGTAGGTGTCAACCATCAACACTGTGACTATGAAGAAGGAGACGGGATAGGCTGGGGAAGAGGAAGAGGAGTCACAGGTAAAAACTAACAATAACACATGTACAGATAGTGCTTTTCTAACAGAAACAATAAAGACAAGTTTTAAAATTCAGCAGATATGAGTTATGGACTTAAACTAATGTTAAGAATGAAGTAACAAAGAATATCAATTCAAAAGCAGTAAAACTTGGCAATTATGTTTGCAGATTAGTAACTAAAGAACAGAATCCCAGGGTGGCGCCTGTGGCTTAAAAGGGTAGAGTGCTGGTCCCATATGCTGGAGGTGGTGGGTTCAAACCCAGCCCAGGCCAAAAACTGCAAAAAAAAAAGAACAGAATCTCAGATATTTGGTGCTACAAGAGGCCTCAGAAATCACCTTGTCCGATTCTCTTGTTTGCCTAAGCAGGAAATTAAGGGCCAGCATGGCCATGCCACTCAGCTGATAACAGTAACACCAGGCTGGAGCCCAAGAGCCCTTTCAACCAAGATCAAGGTTCTTCTACCACATCGTGTTGGGCTTGCCCACCAAATGTTCCAGGGACTTCTCCACCCTGAGGTACCTAGCACTGCTCACTTAACTTTGCCACTTATTACAATCCTGTTAAAAATAGCACTGCAAATATGAACTCAGAATATACCCAGAGAGTCCCTAAAAGTCTGAGAAAACTTGAAAACTATCAAATTAGGAACATTCCGTCTCTTTGTTTGACATTTTATTTTCATCTATGGGGAGAACAGAGCATAAGGAAACGGGGGTGTGGGGAGATGGGAGGAGAATAAATTGAGTAATGGACCATCTGCGTGGTACTCTTGCTATATATGGGTTGTTTTTAGCAAGAGGTCAAAGTATCATCCAAGCAATTATCTACAGTGCATGTATATGAACATGTATGTAGCAGTCTGATAGTGTGTAGTGGATGGGGTATACCTGAGTCTAAGGACAGGGGAAAAACAGGGCTTACAGTCAGTGGCCAGTGCTACTGACCTCTTCTTCCACCAACTTGAAGAGTACCAAGGAGGAAAGTCAGAGAATAGACAACTAAGGGAAAAGAAGAACTCTCTACCACGGTACTTTGGCATTGGCTACACTGATTCTGCATGTTAAGCATAGCCAAGGTGTAGAAAGGAAAGGTTGTAAGTGAAATCGGATCCTGATATCATATGCCAGTACCCTCTACCAGCATGCCTACGCCCAGCTTCTCTGCTGCAACTGGGAAGCACCCTGAACCACTAATGGAGTGGGGTGACCACACTGCCAGATCCTTAGGACCACCTCCTTCCTCTTGCTTCCAGATTTTCTCTTTATTTCATAGAAGGCTTAAGAATTTATGTAAGTCTTACTTTGTGAATGAATTGCTCTGGAGGAAGAAGAAGTTCGCAGATAATTACTTCCCCATGCCAAAACAGAACTGCAAGGAGACAATTTAAAGTTTCAGAGGTCAGTAGCAGACTTTTTTGGTTCACGTTCTTTAAGTCAACAAACTCTGCCAACTATCTATTATGTATCAGGTCAAGCTTTTGCCTTCCTTAAAGCACTGATCACATTTTGTAAGTACTATTTTAATACCATATTATCTGTGTGCTTTGATTTAGCTCACCTTATATGATTAAAAACTTCATAAAAAGACTATCTGTAAATTCTCAATGGCAGCTGTAATTTCTACAAAAATGATAAAATAATAAATACCAGGTAATCCTTGAGGATTTACTATAGTGAAGCACTTTCTATGCATATAATTTAATCCTCACAACAATCCTATAAGCCAGGTGGAGTTTTACCATCCCTATGTCACAAGTGAGAACAATGGGGCACAAAGAGATTAAGTAACTTGCCCAAGAGGTTACCCAAGAGGTAACTTGCCCAGGGAAGCTGTGAGGAGTTTTAAAAATATTTCTTTAACTTTCAAACAACATTGCAAAGCATGATTTTTCTTACTTCATAGATAATGAAAGTAAGCTCCAAAAAGGCTGCACTGCTATTTGGCCTTGAGTAAGTGGCCCAGATAATCTTTGATCTCACTTCTGTTTGGTTCCAAAGCCAGTGTTGTTTCCACTGCACTGGTGCCTAGACTTTAGGATTTTATGGACCAGTAACGTTTCCAAACAAATTGGGGGGGAGGGAGAGGTACTATATGGAATTACCCATCATATATTTGGCCAGGTATAGAGATTCAAAGAAGCAACAACAAATAAAATGACTACTTATATATTTTTTTTAAGACAGAGTCTCACTTTGTCACCCTGGGTAGAGTGCCACGGCATCACAGCTCACAGCAACCTCAAACTCTTAGGCTCAAGCAATTCTCTTCCATCAGCCTCCCAAGTAGGTGGGATTATAGGCACCCAACACAATGCCCACCTATTTTTAGAGATGGGGTCTAGCTCTTGCTCAGGGTGGTCTTGTTCTTGCTCAAGCTGGTCTCGAAATCATAAGCTTAAGCAATCTACCCATATGAGCCTCCCAGCGTGCTTGACTAACTACTTTTAATAATCATGGTGAAAAAACAAGGAGATTTAACATCAAAAACTAGAAAGAACCAAATGACAGACTACAGATCAGAAGATTTCTACTGATACAAGCACTATCTTATTTCCCCTCTTGTTACCAGGCCCCAGTGAAATGGACAGGCACAGTGTTTGAGAACCACGCCCACCAGGAGTTATCTCCAAAATCTGTTCAGTTATCTTTCCACGCCTACATGGACTGAGGTTTGTTATATAGTGATAACCTCATATAGCTATCCACCTACCTATCTTTTTATCTTTTTTCCCCTAAAATTCAGAATTGAGAAGTTACTTATACATTAAAAAAAATTATTTACATGGGTATTCTCCCAAAGACACTAAAAGATCATTTGATATTAAAATATCTTTGATATTATTTGCCCTTATAAAGAGATTTTTGTAAATATTCTTTTTAAAGAAGTAAAGGTGATGCCTTTGACAAGCCAACAAACAGACAAGCTTCATGTCAAGCCAATTCTAAGAATATCTTTAGTACTATCTGAAATTTCACATGCAGCCCCCCTGGCATATACCTTTTTCCAATTGGTAAGACAATTCTTATTCCTATCTCAAAGAAGCACTGTGAACATAAGTTAATATCTTTCAGTATTTTAAACTCTCTGGTTGCAGGACTTTGCTTTATTCATTACAAACTAACAGATTCAAAACACAGAACTTTCACTTTAATTTCACCTTTATGCTTTCCAGGAGAAAAATACTTTTTCCGGAAAGAGCATGACATCTTGTGCCTTAACCACACAAATATAACTGTGTAGAAAGCATTTTCATAGGGCTTGTCTTTCTGGCAATTCCTGGTGTTATTCGAAAAACTTCCCAAATATAGAAAGGCCTAAATTTATTAAATAGGGTACCATAAACTCTCAACTAACTGGCACAGTAAGGAAATAGAGTACTCAAATATTCACATTTAAAAAGTTAGTCCACATTAATTATGCCTCAAGAAAAGGATTAAAAAGTCACTCCATTCAAGATTTATGGACAAAAATTTTTCTAAAATTTACAGCACCATAAAGCATACCTAACAAAACACTTTATTTTAATAAATAAAGTTTAATATTTATGATGGTAAAGAAAGTTCTTGAGGATTTGCATTATAAATAGGATTTGTCTTGGCACTATAGCAACATGCCAATTAATAGAGAATTCTAGTTGAAGACATGCCAGGTATTATTTCTACTAAAGTAGAATGCAGTTTTTAAACAACTGACTTTGAGGCCAGACAGCCCTGTATTTGAATATGGGCCCTTCTACTTCCCAGCTGTTAAGTCCTGCGCAAGTTACTAAAGCTCTCAGAGATTCTTCTACTTTATGTAAAAAACCCTTCTGCTGGAATGCTGGATTCTCTGTCCACCTTCATCAGTGAGGTGCAAAGTTTGACTCAGCCTCAATAACATTTCTGTAAGGAAGAAAAGGAATCGCCCAAACAAACTAATAACAGGTTTTGTTAGAACTGACAAGTTGCTATCCGGTGTATCTTAAATCTGGAGGATAACTGCCATAGAATTATTAAAAATGGGGAAAAGGAAGGAGCTCAGGGGAAGGAAAGATCGGAGGACAAAAGAAGAATTAAAAAGAGGCCTTGGTAGGATAGAAGCTCCCTCTGTCTTTCCATTACATCAAAAGAAAAATGGCTTCCCTGAAAATACAGAGGTTTATGAGCGCCCCCATGGGGCAGATTAACTAAATGTCATCCCTAGTACTGGCTACCATTACAGCAGAAATAGATCAATTATTCGAAAAAAATAAATAGGATTTTAAAGATAACTGTTGTAGTCCAGTTGAGTTTCTGACTTCTCCTAGGGAATTCTAAATTATCCACATAAGGCCCCTAAATATTTTTGTAATGTTTTAAGTAACTTTGAACAGAGTAATGCTTAGTGTTTAATTCAGGAATTTGGGATGTAATTCTGAGATCACAACAAAACCAAAATCAACAGATTTTGAGATTTCAACAGACAGTGTTATTCTTAGTATTATATAATTAATAACTAGCAGAAATTATTAATAGAAAAAAGCAAAAGTTCTTAATTTGTATATTTTTCTTGCTCTATAAGTTTAGCACACAAATAAGACAAAAAATCAGTTACCTTAATGACAGTTAGCAAATACATAGTTATTAATATTCTATGATGAAAGAATATTTAGTTACCTTTCCAATGTATGTGGCTTTAGGTAATAGCTAAATGGATTTGCATACCTTGACCCCATTTGCACATTTCCCAGTACTTAGTATCGAAAACAGAAGAAACAGCCATGCCTAGCTAAAACTGCTGAGGTCTATATATAAAGACTTGTTGATTTTGGCAAAATAAAAACTCTATATGATAGACATTGCAATAACAAATGATACCAGATGGAGGGTAAAGTTGCAAACTAAGTGTGTCAAAATATTCCAATTGTGTTAAAAATAAGGTCTCAGTGGCTCACACCTGTAATCCTAGCACTCTGGGAGGCCAAGGCAGGAGCATTGCTTGAAGCCAGTTTAAGACCAGCCTGAGCAAGAGTGAGACCCTTTCTCTACAAAAAGAAAATAGAAAAATTAGTTAAGCACGGTGTCTGAGGGGAGGCATATGGTTCACACTGATACTGGCCTCTCCACAAAGAAATGGATCATTTGAAACTCTGGAAAACTCTAGAAGTGGAATCACAACCCAGAATTATCAAGGAATTTTTCCTGCTGGAACAGTGGTTAGCCATCTTCAAGGCAGTCTAGACAGGGAGCAAGGCGCGGTTCTATAAACACAGCACTGATAGAAAGCACTAGCTTCCTGTACTGTACAGGTTATATCCAAATAAGTTAATCCCTTTGGTAGGTCTTGCTTTGCCAGCATATTCACTATAAAACATACAACAGACACTTAAAATTGAAATCAAGATTATAGGCAATATTTTGGAAACCAGGTCTTCCTCAAGCTGTGGAAAAATCTGGGTGGCCTAGATTCCTTCCTTTCTCAAAATAAGACTGCTTTTCCTCCCACTCTAGAAAAGAGGTGGAAATGTTTACATGGATACATCTGATGTGTTGACACAGCTCTTAGCAATAAGTCCTTCAAAAGGGCGATCTTTTCCTTCAGGTTCTGCAACAAAGCTCTGATTGTCACCGTAAGCTGAAAAGAAAAGAACACATCCTAAGTATACTAGTCCAGAGGTGCAGAATTTACTAAATTATATCACGTAAATGCTGTTTTACAGGTTATGATTCAATCAAGGAAGGGATGGAAAAGATGACTGGCCTCACAGTAACAAACTCAGGGTTGCAAGCAGTGTCAGCAGTGTCCTGGGCCAGACACCAGCCTGAGGCTCGGACCCCAGGTGAGCAAGACCACACTTGAACACCAACATGGACTGGAAACTGTCAGTTTGTTCTCACCATCAGCTGAATTCTGTCCCCAGAACGTCTACCCATTGATCCTAGTTATGCACCTTGGAACCCAGCAGGAAACTATGATCCCCAGGTCTTCATTCAAGAACAAAACCTCACAATTCTCTCAACCAGACTTCAAAAGACGTCAAGTCCCATTACCATCCTGACCCATCTCTCTAAACATACTGATAAATTTATAACCCGTTTAAACGTTTTATAGCAATGTGTTCCTTTTACACAAGAGGAATGCTAACCACATGACTCTTTCTCAAGAAGAGTGTGAATTTTCTCCAATCACTCTAAAATCCTGGAAGAAATTTTTGTTTGTGATTCTAAAATGCTACATTTAAGGATAGAGGAAGGAGAAAGAGAGAGACTCTCAGGAACTTAGAAAAGTGAAAAATAAAACTTCCCATTTAAATTAAAATATAGTCAACCATGGATGAAATCAAAAGTTTGTTAAAAGAATACCAGAGGTTTCATTTGCTACCTTGTTAAAAGTAGCAATTACACAACATTGGTGAAAGGTGATGCTCCCTCCTTAGATTAGCAGACTTCCACTAAGAAAAAGTAGCAGAAAGCCAGAGCAGCACATCAAACAACCATCAAGTAGCCAAGAAAAGTCTAACTTTAACTATTCTAATACCTCTGGGAACCAAGGAAGAACCACCCACAGTCTTTATGGGGGAACATCAAGTCACACAGATCTCACCTCAAATAGTAAAGAGCAACACAAATAAACAAAAAGCACACACCACACATACACCCCAGATCTACAAAGAGCCTACCAAATTAAAGATCAAAAACATTCAAGAGATGAAAGGGTATGTACTCACTATAAAGCATGACTTAAATCTCAATTTGTTCATGTGGAAAGTTATTTAATTAACTTACTGAAAGAAAAAAATCAAGTCATAAAATGTCACCCAAATAAAGAAAAACAATATGGGAACTAAATATACCCAAATGCCAACAGTGGTTATCTCTAAGTAGGATCTTTTCATATTTTATCAGAAAATGATTACTTTTTATAATTAGAATAAAATCCCATCATCATAATTAAACAGAAGCTTTCTAAAGCACAGAAAAAGACAGAAAGTCTTTTCACATTTTAAACTAACATCACTCTAGTAAAGACACTGACAGAGATAATCATATCAATCTCACTTAAGGATTATAAATGTAAAAGAAAATTTTTTAAATATTAGCAAAGCAAACTCAGAATTACATTACAGAATTACATTAAAAGGTACAATGGGCTCTGCGCCTGTGGCTCAAGCAGCTAAGGCGCCAGCAGGTTCGAATCCAGCCCAGGCCCGCCAAACAATGAGGGCTGCAACCAAAAAAAAAATAACCAGGTATTGTGGCAGGCGCCTGTAGTCCCAGCTACTTGGGAGGCCGAGGCAGGAGAATCGCTTGAGCCCAGGAGTTGAAAGTTGGAGATGCCATAGCACTCTACGCAGGGCAACAGCTTAAGGCTCTGTCTCAAAAAAAAAAAAAGGTACAATATACTATCAGTAAGTAGAATTTACTGTAGTAATTTAAGAACAATTTAATGTTAGAAAAATCTAATAATAAAACTCATGATTAAAAACAGAATAAATATATGATTAATACAGAATTGGAGAAACTCAAAACAAAACAAAGGGAAAGAAAAACTAAGGATATAACACTATTGCCTTAACTGCAATATTAATTAACTTTGATCTAGACATTCTAACCAATGCGATAAGACAAATTAAAGAAAATCAGTATGTAACATTAGAAAGAAACAGATAAAATTATTGCTCTTTGTAGATGGATAATAGTCTGCTTGAAAACTTAAAAGAATCAAATGAAAAAAAAAGAATCAAATGAAAGATTATTAGAAAAAGCAAAAAAGTTTCAATATGTTAATCAATAATAAAATGAAAAAAATCAAGGGCATTCCTAAATTTAAGTAAATACCTAGGGAGAATTTTTTTAATTGTGATTTTTAAGAAGTCATCTTGCACAGTACCTGGCACATTAGTTTCATGCACATTAGTAATAATGCAGTAAATACTACAGAAGATGAATAAAAGGAAATACTCAACACTATAAAAATTTAAATTTTCCCCAATTTAATCTTCAGAAGATTTGAAACCGCACTCTGTTGGCCAAGGCTTGCAGAAACAGAAGCTCTCACACAGTGCCTGTGAGGGTGCCAAAGGTGGCAACCCCAGAGAAGGGGAAAACTTTGCAACAGGTAAAAAGAACTACATATGCCTGGCTCTGAGAACTCATCCTTAAATAAAAATTAAAAAGAAAAAAAAGGGGGGGGGGCAGCGCCTGTGGCTCAAGGAGTAGGGCACTGGCCCCATATACCAGGAGTGGTGGGTTTGAGCCCAGCCCCGGCCAAAAATGCAAAAATAATAATAATAATAATAAAGGGTATTGACTGCAGCATTTTTCATAACAGCAAAAGATGGGAAACCATCTAACTGCCCAACCATAGGAGACAGGTTAAATGTGTACTACACAGCCCTGAAGAACAAAAAGTTCTCTATGAATTAATATGGAGATATTTACATGCTATATTATTAATTGGAAAAAGTAAGATACAAAATACTATCTTTTGTATAAAAAGAAGATATGACCATACACACGTACACATAAACACACAGACTTATTCTGTAAAAACTAACACAGGAAGAAAAACACCAGAAATTAATGAAGTACGTCACCTGGAAGAAGTCTGTTATTTAAGAAGAGGTGGAAAAGAGGAATGAGAACAAGATATTGAGTGCACCTTCTTTTTTTTGGAGAGACAGAGTCTTACTATGTTGCCCGCGGTAGAGTGCTGTGACATCACAGCTCACAGCAACCTCCAGCTCTTGGGCTTAGGCGATTCTCTTGCTTCAGCCTCCTGAATAGCTGGGACTACAATGTCCAGCTATTTTTTTGTTGTAGTTTGGCCGGGGCTGGGTTTGAATCCCCCACCCTCAGTATATGGGGCTGGCACCCTGCTCACTGAGCCACAGGCGCTGCCCCAAGAGTGCACCTTTTTTTTATAATTTTGACTTTTGAACAATGCAAATGTTTTATTACTTAAATCAAAAAAGTTGGGAGAAAAAGCAAACTCTAAAAATTAATAAAAACAGAAACAAAAGATTATATGAGATATGGAAAAAAAAGAATCAATTCTTTTTTAGAATATCTTTGGAACAGAATAACCTCAGTATTCTTAGCAGAATATCCTAATTGTTTTTAAAAGACACAGATTTCAGACATTAGTGCTTTATAATGATTTGAAACTATTTTCTGTAAACTGTAAGATAAACCAAATGTGTAAAAATATACTGATTTTTTGGAAACCAGAGTTCTCACTGTGGGGAAAAATTTAAAAAAAAAACATAAATGTGGAATGGGGAAGGTAAGGAGGAAGTCTTTGGTGCTGGATTTGAATTGAAGGCATCAGCATGAACTAGAAATTTCATAAAAATATATTTCCTACCCAAATTTCACTGTTGTTTCTCTCCAGCCCACAACTAAAGATGGTTTTGAAATATAAAAAAGACTATTATCCGATTGGCAAGAATAAATACTCAAAGAGTTGAAGCCACTGAGTCTCTTGGCCACCACTGCTTTACTATGTAAGCAGACAGACCATCATACGTGCACAGACACATTGAGCCTCAAATACAGGCACGATTTTACACCTCAAAGCTCAGACAAATCATTTTAAGTATTAAGTCTCCCCTGGTATTACCTTGGGTGTCTTTTCACCTTTTCTTTCATACTGGTTTCGTTGTTGAATTTTCTCAGCAATCTCTTGAGCAATTTGACAAGTAGAATCATATGTGGAGAACCTGCAACAAAGTAATAAAAAGAAAAATGTTGAAGGTCCTTTAAAAGAAATGTCTACTTTGTCTAAAGTTTGGGTTCTTTATTCTAGTCACAAAGTTCAAAGAGGAAGGGAGGACAATGACAGTACCAGTAATCGCAACAGGGACTGAACTGAATTTATTATGTGCCAGACTCTATTCTGAAATACTTGTAACAACTCACTTAATCCACAGAAGGATGCTATGAGGTGGGTACCATTACCATCTCCATCTCACACATAAGAAAATGGACACAAGGAGGTAGATTTGCCCAAGTGGTACCACCAGCTATAGACCAAAGCTGTTTGACCCCAGAGACTAAGCTCTTAATCACTTCGCTCTTCTGCTAATGAGAAAGCATTTGGAGGGCCTCTGCTGTACTGAGCACTGTTCCTGGGGCTGGAGAATATAGCAGGGAATAAAACAGACAAGCCCCTGCTTTCAAAGAGCTAACATTTTAGTGAAGGGAAAAAAACATAAAGCAAATAAAATTACAGACCAATATCCTTTATGAATATAGATGTGAAAATTCTCAATAAATTCTTAGCAAACCAAATCCAGCTGCACATCCAAAAAATAATTCATCATGACCAAGTGGGCTTCATCCCAGAGATGCATGGATGGTTCACCATATACAAATCTATAAACATAATTCACCACACAAATAGATACAAAAACAAAGATTCTTTTGATCAAAGCAGAAAAGGCATTTGACAAAATTCAGCACCCTTTTATAAGAATGGATAACAAACTGGATATAGGTGAGACATACCTCAAAATTATAATGGCCATATACAACAGACCCAAGCCAACATTATACTGATCAGGGGAAAACTGAAAGCGTTCTCACAACTAGAACCAGGCGAGGTAGTGTCACTGCTTCTGTTCAACACAGGGCTGGAAGTCCCAGCCAGAGCAACTAATCAAGAGTATCCAAATGGAGACAGAAGTCAAACTATTGCTCTTTGTAGATGATATGGTCTCACATCTACAAAACTACAAAGAGTTAGCCAAAAGACTCCTGGGATTGATAAACAAATTCAGCAAAGTTTTGGGGTTACCAACGTACACGAATCAGTAGCTTTCCCATATGCCAGCAACAGTCAAAGCTGAGAATCAAATCCAAGATGCAATAGCTTTCATAGTAACAACAAAGAAAATAAAATATCTAGCAATATATTTAACTAAGGAGGTGAAACACGTCAGTAGGGAGAACCATGAAACACTGAAGAAACAAATTGCAGAGGATGTAATCAGATGAAAAAACATTATCATAGGGCTACGCCTATGGCTCAGTGAGTAGGGCACCAGCCCCATATACCAAGGGTGGCGGGTTCAAACCCAGCCCTAGCCAAACTGCAACAAAAAAATAGCTGGCATTGTGGCAGGTGCCTGTAGACATAATTTTGAGGTATGTAGACATACCTCTCGGGAGGCTAAGGCAAGAGAATTGCCCAAGCCCAGGAGTTGGAGGTTGCTATGAGCTGTGATGCCACAAGGGCAATAAAGTGAGACTCTATCTCTTAAAAAAAAAAATCATGTTCATGGTTCAGTGGAATCAACATTGTTAAGATGACTACTGACACAGTGCTGGTGGGACAGTAAACTAGTACAACCTTGGTGAAAAGTCATAGAGAAAGGCTAAAAGAACTAAAATAGACCTACTATTTGATTCAAC